GGTCTTCCTCTCAGGGCCCAAGCTCTGGGTCAGACACCTCCTTGGTAAGGAGGGAGCAGGCTTTTTCCTTGGAAACTCTTGTCAGGCAGCCAATGGCAGGAAGAGAGCGAAAGATCTGAATGAAAGATGCCACCTGGGCCTGTCCTCCATGAGCCTACCATCCAGGGCAGATGATAAGACAAGACACCCACCTGGCACCACTACTAGTAAATAGTCTAAAGCAATGCCTCCAGGAGGAAAGAGTGGGCACACCAGAGGAAGCGAGCTTTGCCGGACCTGCATGCCTGCTGCTCCCCTAGAGGTTATGGGGAGACCCTTGGCCAACTGAGCACCATGAGAACCCTGTGGGGCCCAGCTGCTAGGGCAGTACTGGTAGAGGGGAGAGCTGGTGTCACAGGGAGGGAACACCGGGTCTGGCCCGGACCCTGCCACTTACTTTAATCCACCCTTCTTTCTTCTCTAGGCCATGCATCTTCTCTCTGTCCTGACTGGGGTAAATTTGTTCCCTTCACATTTTGCTTAAGCCCAGCACAGTAAACTCCCAAGGCTCCTACTGCTTCTTCCACCACACAGCCTCTCCTGGAGCCGAGGAAGGGCGCCAGGTACCCATGTCCTGTTCCTCCCGCCTTCTCTCCTGGGTCAGAACCAGGAACCCAGAACCACCTGGCCCTTGGCCCAGACTTGCATGCTCTCCCCACCCAGAGTCCCCCGACAACATCCCAGGCCTGAAAACCACGCTTTCTCCATAACACTCTGTCCCAACTTGGAATGCCCCCCCCCCCAGTACACTCAGACTCCTCCACTGCCTCCTGACCTGGGGTACACTTTGCTCTTCTGAGTCCGAGAGCCACTGGGCCAGGGCCAAGTGTTCCTTGGTCTTCGTCTGAGAACCTCTCTTCCTCTCCTTCCTCTCCCTCTCCCCAGCCCCAGCTCAAAGCCTGCAGTCGCGGTGACAGTGTGAGAACCGCGTACCCCTCCCGCTCAGGGCCAGGGCGTGGTGATTCCATTCCCAATTTCTATGCACTAAGCGTCCATGTAACCTGAGCCGGGCCTCTCGGTGGCACAGGACTCATGCAATTGAAGTGGAGGCCAGGCAGCCTGAGCATAATGTGTCCGAAGGCAGCAAAGCTGACATGAGAAGATCACTCAGGGCACTGGGATGGCAGGCTGGACCAACGCAGGAAGCTTCATCCTGGAAACCCTAGAGTAGTGGAGGGGACATAGCCAGCAGGGTCCCCGCCAGAGCACCCATGTGGCCTTTTAAAGCCATCACAAGATAGGCTAGATGACAAGAGGAAAAACAGGTGCGTCGTTCCTGGTGAGGCTGGTTTGTTCCTGAAAAGTCACATGTACCTCTTTGTGTGCTGGCAGGCCTGGAGTTCAGGCTGCCTGAAAATCTAACCCTGTTCCTTGCTCACTGTGGGTCTCAGTGCAGAGATGTTGGGGCTTTGCTGCTGGTGGTGCTTTGGAGAGTGATGGCTCCGGTCCCTCTAGGCTGGGGATTCTTTGGAGGATTGCTCCAGCCCCCCTTTAAGTAGCAAGTGAGTTATAAACTGTTTAAGTGCGTTGAGAATAGCCCCCATTTGGAAAGGGGAATTCTTTTGTATAACCAGGCTGTCTGCAATGATGAGAATTAACAGCCTCTAAAAGTCCCTTTGGACAGGATAAAGCCTGGGTTTCAGGTGTCAGCTTATCTTAGGGTGAGCCAGACTCAGAATCAAAAGTAGGAAACAGGTGGGTGATGGGATCAGGGTGCGGGAGGAGCTGCAGACTTCCGGCTACAAGGACAGTGAAACCCCCCCCCTCCCCACCGATGGGATGCAAGATGCCAGGAGCTTCTGAGTGGCTGCTCTCCAGGGCCTGGCTGAGTGCAGTCAGCTCAGGTCATTCTCTGCAGGCTTCAAGTCTGGACGTGTCCCTGGCCAGAGTCCGAGGCACCATCCTTGTTCCCCATCCTGTTTCTCCATCTCCCCTCCCCCCATTAGGACTCATCACCCTTAGCCCTCCCTCCCATCACAGCCCTGGGTGCTGAACTTTTGGAGGTGATGTCCCCCCAATCCGGGCACTGCATTTCTCTTCTCCATGCTCACTGTACCCCTGGGGCTGTAGCCTGTGCCACTGCCCCATGTCCACTCCAGCCCCAGTAGTTGGCAGGGACCTAAGAACCAAGGTCTCACTTACATTGTCAGGGTCCTTCCCTGCACCTGGCCGTGTCCCCAGCACAGTCCTTCCTGCCCCAAAGATTTCTCCCATACGGGCTCCTCACCCGAATCATTCTTATCAGCCTCAGGGGGCAGGGAGAACCTTGAGGGGACCCCAAAACACAGGGAAGCAGCTGGTCTAGGCGGCTTAGTGAAGGTCCTTCCCTCCTGGGCCCAGGCCCTTTGCATACTGGCCTAAAGTGCAAATCTAGTTTGTACTTTAATCCTCATTAGGTGATGGGCTTAAGGGAGGCACTGATATATGAGCCCGGAAGCACAGAAATGTGACTGGTAAACAGCAGGGTTGCAAGGGGCCTGTGACTTTTCTTGGGGAAGGAGGGTGGGGGACTAGAGTGTGCGTGTGTGCGTGGTGGGTGTGTGTGTCTGGGTAGAGAGCAGCAGGCCCCAGGAAAGCAAGAGGAGGAGGAATCACATGAGCCAATGAACCAAGGAAGGATGCTGGAGGCAAGGAGGAGGGAAAAGAGGGACAGCCAGGGGCATGGCTGGTGGGGGGTTATATGGAGACTGTGAACTAGTGGTGGGAATTCTTGGATGGATGGAGCTGGGGCTCGAGGATCAGGGGTAGAGCTGAAGGTGAACCTGATGATGTGGGGGAAGAGAGGCTGGGGTGTCTGATCGCTGCCTTGGAAGCCGTGTTTCTGCAGGCCAGCCCCATACTGGGCATTGCACAAGTACCCTGCCAATCTGCCCCTTGCCCAGAACCATCTCATCTCCCTGCTCTGCCTGCTTCCAGCCTTCCTTGGCTGCACTGCAGCCTCCATGAGAGCCAGCCCATGTGCCTTCTCCCTCATCGAGACCAGGAACACCCAGCACCACTTTGGAGTCTACTGCCAGGGCTTGGGCTGGCATCAGAAGGCTTCTACTCTAAGCCAAATGTGCACAGATGTAGGGCAGGGTTCAAAAGAGAAGAAGAGAAGCCAACCGGGCTTGAAATGGCAGGAATTTACATTAGATACAGGATGGGCATGTGATGTGAGGATGAAAGGAGATAGGGCATCTGGCGGGGAGGTGCCAACTGCAGCAGCCCAGCCCCCTCCTCAGGCACAGACTTGCTGCTTGAGGTGACCTTTCATGCCTTTGTTTACTCATTTATTCATGGAATAGCTATTGGCCTCTAAATCTGATCACAGGCTGAGTAAAACCCAGTATAAGGCACATGTAAGAGTCAGAGGCACCCCCCAGCCACTCCCACAAGGTGGCCACAAGAGAAGTGATCCCAGGAGATGCCTAAACACTGATGAGATGCCAGGGGTGAGGTACGAGATCTCCAGCACTCAAAAGTGGGTCACTGCATAGCGAGGGAGCTAGGAGGACAATGACATCATGTTCCGGATTTGGCTTTAAAGATACTTCAGCAAAGAAAAAAAGGGGCTAACAAAGGCATACATGACTCTCTCTGGATACCTTGAATCTGGGTGATGGGTACGTGGTGGTGGAGGCATTTATTTCACTGATGTGTTGTATGTGCGAAGCTTTTTAAGCGTATTGGTTGTGAGGGTGCAATGGGAGTGTTAGTGCCTGCTGTGCCCCAGCCAACCACATGCATAGTGCCCGAAACCGCACTCCCAGTTTTGTTCTAAACAAAGAACAAGTCTGTGCCTTTCAGAGACATGACAAGACTGTCAAAAGGACAGAAACTCAGCTCCATAAATTTCAAGATGTGAGGAGTAGGTTCCATTTGCCCCTAAGACAGTGTAAAGATTGAAAATTGTTCATCAAGATAGAAGACAAAAACAAAGGACAGCTCTGAGCAATGCCACCTCATGGAGAGGTTGTCCCCTGCCACGGGCCTGCGGGCTCCGTCCCCCTGCTCATGTGAACCAGCCCTCCTGCTAACAGGCTTTCTCCTTGCAGGGCCCCTGCTGCAGCCTTCTGCCAGGAAGGGGCTGGAGGAAGGCAATGTCCGCCACCTGGTGCAGCCCAGAGGGTCAAGGAATGGACCAGGGCCCTGGCAGGGAGGTCGGAAAAAATTCCGCCGCCAGCGGCCNAGAGGCTGGGGTGTCTGATCGCTGCCTTGGAAGCCGTGTTTCTGCAGGCCAGCCCCATACTGGGCATTGCACAAGTACCCTGCCAATCTGCCCCTTGCCCAGAACCATCTCATCTCCCTGCTCTGCCTGCTTCCAGCCTTCCTTGGCTGCACTGCAGCCTCCATGAGAGCCAGCCCATGTGCCTTCTCCCTCATCGAGACCAGGAACACCCAGCACCACTTTGGAGTCTACTGCCAGGGCTTGGGCTGGCATCAGAAGGCTTCTACTCTAAGCCAAATGTGCACAGATGTAGGGCAGGGTTCAAAAGAGAAGAAGAGAAGCCAACCGGGCTTGAAATGGCAGGAATTTACATTAGATACAGGATGGGCATGTGATGTGAGGATGAAAGGAGATAGGGCATCTGGCGGGGAGGTGCCAACTGCAGCAGCCCAGCCCCCTCCTCAGGCACAGACTTGCTGCTTGAGGTGACCTTTCATGCCTTTGTTTACTCATTTATTCATGGAATAGCTATTGGCCTCTAAATCTGATCACAGGCTGAGTAAAACCCAGTATAAGGCACATGTAAGAGTCAGAGGCACCCCCCAGCCACTCCCACAAGGTGGCCACAAGAGAAGTGATCCCAGGAGATGCCTAAACACTGATGAGATGCCAGGGGTGAGGTACGAGATCTCCAGCACTCAAAAGTGGGTCACTGCATAGCGAGGGAGCTAGGAGGACAATGACATCATGTTCCGGATTTGGCTTTAAAGATACTTCAGCAAAGAAAAAAAGGGGCTAACAAAGGCATACATGACTCTCTCTGGATACCTTGAATCTGGGTGATGGGTACGTGGTGGTGGAGGCATTTATTTCACTGATGTGTTGTATGTGCGAAGCTTTTTAAGCGTATTGGTTGTGAGGGTGCAATGGGAGTGTTAGTGCCTGCTGTGCCCCAGCCAACCACATGCATAGTGCCCGAAACCGCACTCCCAGTTTTGTTCTAAACAAAGAACAAGTCTGTGCCTTTCAGAGACATGACAAGACTGTCAAAAGGACAGAAACTCAGCTCCATAAATTTCAAGATGTGAGGAGTAGGTTCCATTTGCCCCTAAGACAGTGTAAAGATTGAAAATTGTTCATCAAGATAGAAGACAAAAACAAAGGACAGCTCTGAGCAATGCCACCTCATGGAGAGGTTGTCCCCTGCCACGGGCCTGCGGGCTCCGTCCCCCTGCTCATGTGAACCAGCCCTCCTGCTAACAGGCTTTCTCCTTGCAGGGCCCCTGCTGCAGCCTTCTGCCAGGAAGGGGCTGGAGGAAGGCAATGTCCGCCACCTGGTGCAGCCCAGAGGGTCAAGGAATGGACCAGGGCCCTGGCAGGGAGGTCGGAAAAAATTCCGCCGCCAGCGGCCACGCCTCTCTCATAAGGGCCCCATGCCTTTCTGAAGCAGGTACTTGAGTCTCTGGTCAGTGGGTGATGTGGAAGGGCTGGGGGAGGATCAGCCTGGAAGCTGGATGACCCTGTGCTTATCACTGGTCAGACACCTGCCCCAAGCAGTCCTGGCATCACACACAACACAGGGGCTTACAGAGCCCCCATCTCACTCCTTCGTTTTGCAGAAGAGGAGACCGAGGCCCAGAGAGGGGCCTGACACTTAGGAGCCAGTCTCCTGGCTACTCAGGAGTTGGGTGTTGGCTCCCCTCCACCCTGGAGTTGGGCAGGCTGGCCTACTTGGAGAGTTCTAGAAGTTCTAGGGGGCCTTGATGAGCTGTGGATCCTCAGCAGAAGGGGAGGGCCTGGAAGGGGTCAGAGAGCCTTGGGGGTAGCAGGCAGAGAATTGGAAGAATTGCCCAGAGCATGGGAAGGAGAGAGAAGCCAAAGACAGCGTCAGGGAGCTGGCCTAAGCCTGTCCCTGAGGCCTGGCCTGTTGTCTCTTCCCCTATAGCCTGGACGGGTGGCACCAACTCAGCGACCTTGGGCTTTAGGTTCAGGACTGTGAGGAGGAGGGGCC